TGTGGAGCCTAATCCCCTGGAACCTCTTTCTACAGAATGACTGGAAAATTTATCATATAGGCTGGGTATTATTAGTAACTGTGCTATTCTATCTCCTGGTGAAATGACTGATATACCCTTTGGAGAACTGGCTATAATTTTTATTTCACCTTCATAATCGGGATCAATTACCCCAGGACTTATCATAAGTCCTTTTAGAGAAGAAGAACTGCATCCCAATAATAAGTCTACTGTTCCTTTGGGAAGAGATCCTTTTACCCCTGTGGGAATGATGTGAACTCCCATCTCTGGAGTTAGTACTGTTCTGGCAGAGGCCCAGATGTCCAGTCCTGCGCTTCGTCTGGTTTGTCTAGTGAGGGTTTTAATGGACAATGTGTCCTGGGCACTACCCTGATGGGGTTGCTGGGTTCCTCCAGTGCTTCATATATTTGTGGTCTTGGGCCCTGGAGCATTGGGCCCCCCTGTCCATTTTTTGGCAATGGAGCCCGATGCCTTTCTCCATGATATCGTGGATAGATACCTAGTCCTTGTTTGTTTTTTGATAATGGAGTACCCTCTATGGTGGTTTGAGAATGACATTCATTAGCCCAATGTCTCCCTCTATGGCATCCTGGGCAAATACCCGATATTCTACTCCTTTGATACCTAGTTTTATTAAACCCTCCTCCTATGGGGCAATTTCTTTTAAAATGTCCTGTTTGTTCACAATTGTAGCATATTTTTGGCCTGGCATCTAAAACCTGTTGTACTGCAACTGCCACAACTTGCCCTTGTTCATTATGTCTCTACATAATTTAATATATGTGTTTAAATCTTCATGTTTCTATGGTCTAATGACTTCTCTACACCAACGATTTGCTTGCTCATAAGCCAGTTGTTTTATTAATGACATTGCTTGTTATGTATTCCCAAAAACTCTGGTAGCTGTTTGAATAAGCCTATCTGCCAATTCAGTGTAAGGTTCATTAGCTCCTTGTATTACCTTAGATAATTGACCTTGTAAACCTCCATGTCCTTGTAAAGTCTTCCATGCCCTAACTACATCTGCAGCAATTTGTGAGTATACACCAGGATCATATGCAATTTGTTGCTGCTGATCCTCATAAGGTCCCTTTCCTAACAACATATCTAGATTTCTCTGAGGATAACCAGCTGCTGCATTTCATCTAGCCTCTCCTTGTAAAATTCTTCATTGGCAACCTTCTATAACAGTTATTGTCCTCCATTTAGCACAACTTTATACATATTAGCCCAATCTACTGGCCTCATGTCCAAGTTGGTAATGGATTCAACCATGCTTACAGTGAAGGGTGCTTGAGGACCATAGGTTGTTACAGCCTCTTTTAGCTGCTTCACTGTTTTGAAATTTAAAGCATTGTGAATTCGCTGTCTTCCTGCCTGCTCAAATACAGGGCATGTTAATATTTGAGATCCTGTCTCAGGATCCCATCTATCAACTGCGGGGGTTGGGGGCCTCCTAGCATATGGAGGTGGCATTGTTGATTGGACACTTACATCCTCTGGTGGTAGAAAGGTGTTAGTAGCAGTCTCCTGTAGAGGTGGCGCTGTTGGTTGGACACTTACACCCCTTGGTGATAGCAGTCTCCTGTTGTAACTTTTCCCCTTATGGCTTTTTCTACTCTAAACTTTCTTCCTCTGTCTGACTAGCTCGACAGACCTTCTTTTTTACTTGAATTTTTTCCTCTGTCTGACTAGCTCGAGAGACCTTCTCTTTTAGTTGAAATTTTCTACTATAACTATAATACAACCCAACAAGATAACGCCAAACAAAACTGAAACAGAGTGAAACAAAATTGGAACAACAAAAAATCATTCTATCAGCCTTTCTTTCTATCCTCCTGAAATGTCCATCCGTCCTTTCTCCCTATCTGTTCCTCAGATGTGAGCGGTTTTTCTTCCATCTTACACATCTCCAGGGACAGGCAACTTAAAACAAAAGTGAAGCAAAATGAAAGAAGAATCTTAAAATGGCTACCCATCCTCTCGCCCTGCCCTCAGGGGTGAGCAGTTTACCTTATCACTTACCCTCAGTCGTTCCCCTTGCAGGCCACCAAATGCCACAGTCTGGCTGGGCACAATTCAGGAGCCACTTGTCAAAAGAAACAAACTTTATTTTTAGAACACACACCACACCACACAGCTCTTCAGGAAAACCCTCAGAGCCCAACTGCCACCACCAGCTTCCCACAAGCCTCTCAACCTCTCCCACCCCTCTTGCTCTTGAGGCCGCTTGGCTGGGTCATGTGGGCAGAGCCAAAAAAAGTACCCAATGAGCAGCTCCATGGTTTGAAAGGGCGGGGAAACAGCCCAATGAGCATCACCGCAGAGGAACCAATCAGTTGGCAGCTAGAAGTTTGCTGGGGCTGCTGTGAGCCAATCATCAGTTGGCAGCTGGAAGTTTGCTGGCAGCTAGAAGTTTACTGGGGCCCCTTTGGCTGTGGCTCTCAACAGTATATGGTCCTGAATTCATCACAGATATTGACTATATGTATAATGCTTTTGAATTCTTATCTTCACTAACTTTCCCATCCTCCATTGTCCCTCTCCACTGCTTCAACCAATCACCCCATTCAACTTCCCATCTTCACAGGTAACCACTGATCTCTCTCTATCACTACAAATAGGATTGCATTATCTAGAATTTTCATACGAACAGTTATGTACTCTTTTTTTGTCTGGTTAATTTCAGTTGTCATGAATATCTTGATGTTCATCCATCTTGAATCATATATTGATATTTCATTCATCTTCTGTAATAAATTAATAGTTTATTCATTTTTATGGATTAGCAGAAATTTTAATCAAAAAAGTGGGAAAGTGGGAAAAGAATATAATGAGTATGGTACAAACAGTATCATAAAACAGCAAAAAGGCATGTGAATGAGAACTTGGGGTGGATTTCATGTTTTTCCTCAAAGTGCTTACAACTCTTGGGAAGAAAAATTAGAAGTGAAACAACCAAAGGAGAATAAAGGTCCAAAGCATAAGATGCTGAATAAAAGTGAGATCATTACAAGATTGAAAAATCTGGGAATAGAATAAAATTTGAAATGGATCTTTTAAAAGAATGAAACATTGATGTATCAAGTAAAAGTAGACCAGAAGAATAGAATGAACTAAAGAAGAGAATTTGAAATTTGTGTGGACTGTAGGAGACAAAAAAGAGATCAAGAGGAAAACATTCAGAGTATAAAAGATATATAACTTATGCTAGGGGAATAATATGGCTGTAAAATGGGATAAATATAGGACAAGAATTTGGGTTTGGATAGCAGTAAATATAGCATGATTTTTGTTTTTGAAGAAAAGGATATGACAAACTACAGCTATTGATCAAGTTAATTGAGAGCAATGTAGTTCTTTCCAGGAGATGGCTAGCAAAAAAAAAATAAATCATCCAAGGAAGTGGGCCCATGCTGGCTAGAAAGAAGGGAGAGGAGGATCTGAAGATATTAAGAATAGGAGTAACATTTCTCTGCCAAAACCAAATTAATAACAAAAAACAGAAAGTTTACAAGTAACCTTGCTTGGCTCTCCAGATCAAGAACCAGGTCTCAGACAAGCTTTGTTGGAGATGACTTGGAATCACCAATGCAAGAGTTCTGTGGAAATCTAAAAAAAAAAAAAAATGGAATGTAATAAGGATTCAGAGGTCCAGATATGAAAATGAGCAGGATAAGGCAATTCTTAGGTTAGAGTAGTGGGTGAAACTTCTCAGAATGTTAATTTAAAAGGGAAAGTCTTAAAAACAGGTTCAAAATACAATTAACGAAACAAAACCTCAGAACTAAGAAATGTTTCACATAATACTAAATTGAATATTATTCTAATTTTTTTAAAAAAAATGATTTTAAGATATTACATCCATTAACAAAACTATCGAGATCTTTACCTACTTGAAGGTAAGTAGGTCAAGAAAAGCCAAGAGAGAATGCAGAAAGATAAAGCAAAAGGGAAACAGCCTAGGTTTGTGGGAAACACGGATGGACTGCTGAGAGGAAAAGAACACAATGTAAGGGGAAAGAATTTTAAAAAGTGAAGAAAATCTAAATATGTCAGAAAAAGAGTGGTTAGGAGAAAATAAATGCAAGTACCCAATGGGGGAACAAGGATTGGAGAAAAGAGAGACTGGAGGGGCAAGCATGGAGTCAAAACCCTGGGGAAGCTAGAGAAAACAGGAGGTTTGTAAGATCAGAGAGCATAAGCCAAGCATGGAAACAGATGGAAGGGGAAGAGATGCTCATGGATTCAGAAGATAACTAAAGGGATATCTAGGGAGTATAGGTAGAAGGTACAACTGATGACAAAATTAAATGGTGGAATGAGCCAGGAAATTTTTGAAAGCTAAGAGACAAAAGAAGGTTCTGCAAAGAAGGAAAAATTAAAAACAATAACAGCTAATATTTATGGAGCATATGTTTACTGCATTGGGCATTTTGTATGTCTGTCTTCATGTAATATTCCCCTACCCTCAGAGGTAATTTTTTCTAGGTCTTTAGATATAGATTCAAATATTAAGGCTTAGAGAACTTATCCTTCCAGGGCCAAACTGTGAATAAGCAATGAAAAGGAATTTGGTTTAAGGCAAGGGAAATCTAGATACTTTTAACATACACGGTTATTGACTCCTTAACTTTGAGTTAATATGGAATAAAGAACTTATTAAGTACAAGAGACAAGGAGTACAGAGATTTAAAAACTATTGCCTAGGAGGCAGAATAAAGATGCTAAAGCAAAGGAAAAAAATATGAATAAGTTATGAGAAACAAAAAATTGTAAAGGAAAGAAGTAATTGAGGATGGATAATTTTTTCAGAGAATAAACATTTAGTCTGCTTTGCAATACACAGACACAGACACACACACACACACACACACACACACACACACGCTCACACACACACATACATAGTTAAGATTTTGTGTAGGCTGGTTAGAAGTGGGCATAATAAATCCAACTCTGCATCCTCTGTCTTCTAGGTAGACTAGCTGATCCCACCCATAGGACTGACTGTGGCCATGACTCTGGGGATCCTCTGTGCATCTCTGTAGACAGTTGGTGGGCTGGTGAGTTTAACATAACAAATCTCAAATTGATGACTTTCTATAAAGGATTGATTCAAAATCATACATTGATACAAAAGCAAACAATCAAACTCTAATTCTTGCTTTCAAAACACAATTGTTTGCCCTAAATATTCTGAATGTCTTAAAATGAATTTTTAAACAGATTTTTAAAATTTGTTACTTAGTGTGTTCAATTATGAAAATGTTATTGGAGAAAACTAGTAACCTCAAAACTTGTTCTAAAGGCATAAGACAGCAGTAGAAATGCATGTCATGCCATAAAATAAAATTTTGTTAAGAAGATAAATGTAAATATATATTGTAATATTCTAAAGACATGTTAGACTCAAATTTAGAATTAAAAACTTCTGAAAAAATGGAAAATATAGTTATCTATAAAATTACAGTTTCTTTCCTTTTTACTTTTGCTTTGGAGTTTAACTAGCATTTAAAATTCCATCAATTTTTATTATTGTGATTTAAAATAATGTATCACAGCATAAATCCATTTTTCCTTTTTGAGAGTAGGTTTTCTTAAGTAGCATATTAGTATTGCTTATGATCCTTAGAGAAATGATAAAATTTCCAGCATTCTCAAAATTATTGCTTAAGTTTTACCACATATTTATATATCTGTAGAATTTTTATGATAAACGTCTTTGTCTAAAATAGATTCTTTTCTATATTAGCAACACTAATAGTAACTTTTTTGATTACACAGACCTTAATTATTATCTCTCCACAATACCCTTCCTTGCTGCTATCGATTCTGGCCTAATGGGAGTATCAGCAGATAATATCATTCTCCTGCCACCATCCAAGGATCAGACAAATTTTTGTTATAATGTTTCCAGCTGTCATTCATCTTTTCCAGAAGCAATGAAAATGTGGAATAAATTTTACAAGGTTGTTTTTTAACATTCTTTTAATAATCTTCAAAGGTAGCCAGATTTGATTATTTTATGAAGTATTTTTATATATTGAATGATACGTGGGTAAGAAATAATTTCCAAAATGATGATGTTAGTAATATTACTATGAATAGATGACTACATGACATCACATCTCATCAGCATCCTTATTCCTAATACATTATTGAGCAGACTTTATGCACTCTTCGAACACCAATATATTACACAGATGTGTAAACACGTAAATGATGGCTTAATGGTACATAAAGTGCTGTGGTTCTTCCTAATTTCAGGTAAGTGAGCAATCATTTATATAGATATACAATTTTAGAATAGGTTGTGCTTTTGATAATCTTACTTCAACTTTCTTGATAACCAATCACCTAGGAGTTGACTGAAATGATCATTTGATAATCAGAATCAAATGTTGATAACCAAAGTAAGGTGTCATGGGTGAAAAAGTGCATGTCCAAAGGTCAAGTTTCCTTTAGAGAACTGACCATTTTATTGCATATGATTAGATCAAATGCTCTTATTTTTCCCACTCTCCCCATCTCTGACACTTAAGACATGGAATGTTCATTGCATGACCAGAAGAAAAACTAATGAAGCACTAAAGTTCTGGCTTTGAAAAATATAAAATTTTGAATATTTTTAAAAAATTTTAAAGCCTTTCTTTATTACGTTAAAATATATTAAGTATCATTAGTAATTAATACTACTAGTATTAAACACTTTGGACAGTCTCAAGCATTAATAACTCTTTAAAATAATATTCTCCTTTTATTTAGCAAATTGAGAACAAATTTTCATTTAGCAAATTGGAATTTTTCAAATCTGTTTTTTAAGAAGAAATATTGTATTGTATAATTTCCTAAAAATTAATAACACTTTACTCCTTGGCTAGTGTGCAATGTCACCTTCCAGTAGTTTTGATGACCTGTTGAAGTACATGTGGGATGCACATGTTTCATCCCTGGAGTTTGCTCGTAAGAATTTTCAGAGTAGGTAAGAACAAACCTAATGTTATTTTATTATAATACAACAACAATCTTTCCATCTTTCACTATCATTTTCATTAAAATGTTTTTCGAGTTACTTTTTTTGCCTATATGTTGACCATTAGTATTATTACGATAAAAAGAAAAGTCACAAGAAACATTTTCCTGGATAAATTCAAAAGGTATTTCATAGTAAGAGATATTTCATAGAAGAAAAGTGGGCTTGTGCCGCCAAAGTATAACAAAGTAAAATAATAAAAAAAAAAACATAACCAGGAGTAAAAAGGGTGTCTTTTTTGTTGTGGTTAAAAGCTGTTTGAACACAAACCAGGATCTATAAAACAAAAGGACATAATGGGAAGTAATAATAGAACCTCTGCTCCTTTTTGATCCGAGACTACAGCTTGACTAACACATATTTGGAAGGAAATATTATCTTTTATTATCACACACAGCTAAGACAAAGTCAAAATTTTCTCTATTGCCTAGCAAACGAAGTTGAAAGAGACAGCATAACTTGGCATGGAAGAAAAACAGCACTGTGTTAGGAATGGTATTTGCTATCCAGAGTGAAGTAGAAAGAAAGAAAGAGTGGGTGATGAGTTACAGGAATATTTATAACCATAGCATATGTGGTTGGGAATTTCTTATTAACCACCTGACCCTATACCCACTTTAGATAAACAAAACAGAGTCAGGAGGCTTACATTGCTTTGTGTATTTTATCTCAGTATCATTTAAAGAGCAGATGTTTATATTGCACAATGGCATATCATTGAGATGAATTATAATTAACTGTTAAATCTATTTTTGATGACTACAAAAAAGGGTGAGATTATTAGCCAAGAAGTATTGAAGAGGTTAGCAACATCAAGACTAGATCATAGAGCAAATCATTATAGAAAAGAGTTTTTAAAAAACTATTTTTTTCCTATATTGGCTTTCCCCATCACTTACAAAACTACTGTAGTCTAGAAGATTGTAACTCTTAAAGGGTAGTGAGATCAGCACTAAGTATTTGAAATAAAAATTCAGAGCTAAATTAATTGCTTTCTAAAGGCGGTATGAGCCAGGGTAGTCAATATCTGCTCATTTTCCAGAAGTTTTTGGAAGTGTAGAGCTCAGGGATTGATTTTCATGTATGTATTGAATTGAATCATCTGTATAAAGCTACTCAGGTGAGACTCAGAAGCACTAGAGGTATGTGTGTTGGAGGCAGACGGTTTCTGATTGTTTGAATTTCAGATACAAAGAGAAGTCACTGATTGGAGGCTTGCAGAAACCTTTTGACTGAGGCAAGCTGTTGATTGATTGAAGCTGTCTATATGTGATTCAGTGGACAAATGTTACTTTGGAGCACAATCCCCTTTTCCTAGGGATGAAACAACTTTTAAATCTCAAAAGCCTAAGAGTTTTTTAAGGGATTAAAGTCCAAAGATGCTTGTATATATCATTTTCCATCATTTATTTTCCATACTTCCTTTTTGTTCATACTAATTGCTATGAAATGTTTAAATAATTTTTGGAAATACTTAACTAATTTTTGGATAGACCAAATTTATAAGTAACTGAAGATGAAACAAGATCAGTTGTTTGATGATTTTTATTATCAATTTATATATGAATGGTCTGTTTTTTCACACACTAACTTAGGGGAAAAAAAACTCTTCCTTTCCAAGTAAAAACCTACATATATAAGTACAATTAAGAACTTCTTTTTTAGGCCAACATATTTACTTTATTTCTTGAATTTCTATCTTTCTTATATGATTCTACAATTGTCAACCTCTGTGTAAAAAAAAATTTAATAGAAGTATATGTGCCAGAATCTGGACTATGAATATTCTTATCTCTCACTTAGTTCTTAAAAAAATACATTTTGATATTTAGTAACTCTTCTGAAGTTGCACAAATAGTCAGTGGCAGAAAGTATTTTAAGTTTTGTCTGGCTCAAAAGCCCATGCTTTTATCCTCATTGTTATTATTTTTTAGGAAACTATGCTTTTACAAATTGTTGTACAAAGATCAATGTCAACCACAGCTCTTCTTCCTCTTTAAATATAGCGTAAGCAATTAATAGCAGTTTCTGAGGCTGTAATGTGCAAAATTAGATAATCAGGTAAAATTAGGTAATTAGTTTTTGATACAAAAAGATAGATTTCATAAAGAGTTTTAGAAAATAATCTGAAACATACCATAACTTTTACTAGGTAAGTAAACAAACATTCTCTTCATACCTACTTTACTGTGTTTTATATCAGCCTTTGTTCTTAGTTTTCTCCCTCATTTAGGACATCCTATTTCTGAGTGGAGAAGGGTTGATGGTAGGTAAAAAACAATGTTTACAGGTTTCACATAGCTTTATTCAACCATGGTGCTCAACTGGTTATTTGCATGATAATAGGGTCATAGATTTAAAATATTTTTATTTTAGATATAAAAAGTCTCCATTAAATTTTACCTAAATTATTTACAAGTCTAAATTATTATGTTTATTGATCCTCTCAATGTATCTTGTCCTTCCAAAATATTGAAGGGTATTTTTTTTCACACAGCTTCTGAAATTTCAATTAGTTCTCTCTTACTGTGTGTTATTTTCCCTTCACTTCAATTAATGCATTGTCTATCTAAAATGTAATTTTTTTCTCACTGTTATAGAATGTTGAGTCTATAATATTCAACATTATTTCTATGCTGAACCTTCTATTCAATAGTTCTAATTTAAGTAAATTTTTCTTTCATTTTTCATATTCTTGTCTTTCCTAACTTCTAATACATTTACATAACTTTATCTTCTAACCCTTGTTCATATTTAACTTACTCTACTATTTCTGATTTCAAGGAATCAGTATTGATGAGGATTTTTATAATATCTTGCTATTGCTTTTCCTTTGCAATTACATTTTATACCTCTGTGAATATTAGAATAATAGTGATATTATCTAGGATTTTCTATAACTTTACATTATTTTCTTTGTGTGGTATGTTTTACTTATGCTAACTCCTAGATATTTAAAATAGGAGAAGTAAGGAGCAGATTCAATCTCTTTGAGCAGAACTAATGCTTGCTTATTGCTGTAGTGTACAGCATAGTTGGTCTGGGCAATTAAAATGAGTAACTTTGCTTTCATTAAGTTTATGCCTTTCTTCATGAATTGGTTGAACATATGATACATTTCCCATTTTTTGTTTTAAGAGAGAAGGTCCAACTCAGAGCACAATGACAGCCCAGTGAGAGAAGTGTATATGTTCACTTAGGATCTCAATTTGAAGCTTGTTGTTGTTCATTTGTACCCAATTTAATGCAGTTCAAAACTCACTACTTTGAAATTCAGATAATCAATTCATCACTGTACAGCAACAGCTCAGTAGGACACTTTGAATCTATTTGTTTTTTAGCAGCTTTTCAAAGGAGGCTTCCTTTTTATAGAAATTCACTTTTGCTCCCAAATTCGAGTCACTTGGTAACACAATTGTTTTGAGAATTATACACAGTATACAGCATATGTTTCCTCCATTGCTGCTTTAGTTCAGACTTCCAGGACCTGCTAAATCCTTTATTGTTCATCCACTTGATTTTTCAATCCTAAATGTGATGTAGTTGCTTCTTCTCTTTACCCACAGCTTTATTGCCTTTGGTTGTTCAAGGAGCCAAAAGAGATGCATGTATTCAAATATCCATTTTACACCAAAGGTCTTCTATTATCTTTGTGCTTAAGAATATAGACAAAATTTTATTATTTGGCAATGTTTTTGTAATATAGATGAGCTTATGACCTTATTTTGTATTAGTTTTGTTTAAAAATCCCACAAATTGTTGGCTACTAAATTACTGCACTGTATGATTATTGTGTGGCCAATGAAAATTGTTCTAAAGGTATACTTTGATGGTAGGTAGGTTTCATGCCTGTCAATAATATGCAAATCTCCGGTCTTGGTGATGAGTCTTATAGTTCATAAACTAAGATGTTGTAATATTGTGTTTGTTAATATATTAATCATTATTTGATTAAAATACTTTCTTAGAGTTTAAGATCATGTGTGTGTGTGTGTGTGTGTGTGTGTGTGTGTGTGTGTGTGAGAGAGAGAGAGAGAGAGAGAGAGCAATCTGAGTATTAAACCCTGACTATTGAACATGAGAAGTCTCTAATCCATTTTGTACCAGTAAAGTGGGATGAAGAGCAGGATGTAATATGTAGAGTTGTTTTGATAAATACATGTAACATTTAAAATATAACTTATGTCAGAGAAAAAGAGATGACTGTAAGGTAATTTCTGTTGTCAGAGACATATTGGATAGTCACTAAATATAGGATCCTAGAGCCAGAACATCAAGTCTTAAATCCTAGATTTGCATATTATCAGTTGTAGAAATAATTTTCTACAACTTTAATTTTCTCTACCTAATTTCATTCTTCATCTATCAGAAAGAAATAATCCAAGAAATATTTCCAGAATAGCAGAATGAAGATCTAAATTTATTCTTTTGTAAAACTCCTGATATAATCAACATTTCAGAATTATCAGAATTAACCAATGACTTAAAAGTTCCTGAAAAAAGTTATTCAAAAAAGTGAAGAACTTTGATAAGAAAAATAGAGTCTGTGATATTTTAACTCAGCTTCTACCATTTCCCTAGCTTTTCATGGTCTTAAACACCAGCAACCTAGCAACTGCTGCACTGGGAAAACTAGCAGCTGTGTGATCACAGAAATTGCTGGATTTGCCACTTCTCACAAAGTCTCTTTCCTGGAGCTATGTCATTATTTCACCTGACTTAACAGCTCTTTGGAAAAACTGCATCTCAGACTGTTGCAGTTATTTCAACTTCTTATTCTGGGGGAAAAGCTTTGTGCCCAGGGCATTTGGAGATAAAAATTAGCATGAATCATTTAACATCTTAGGTGCCTGAAACTGATACAACAGTTAGAAAAAACAAGAGGTAGGCCTGAATCATAAAAAGAAATCTGGGGAATAAGAAGTCCATAGGGGATTTTGAAAACTTCT